CCTTGACCTCTCTAAATGGCTTCAAACATCTGCTAAGTTCGTGGCAAAAATCAATGCAGACATGGTCCAGTTTTTAGTTTTCTACATCACTTTATAATCTAGCTTGGTTTTTTAAAATACCATTTTCTTTAATTTGTTCATCTCAATTTGTACGCATCTTTTATGATTGTCTACTGTTGTCATCATGCTTTGTTAAAACCAGGTCTTTCTTGTAAATGAGTCCCTGAGGCTCAATGGGATTAACCTGTCTAAATAAAGGTTGAATGAACGAATGTAAACCAACCACCCCTATCATCTGAGGAAGTTATGATTTCTAGTTTTAATTAGGGATGGGGCCGATCCGATCCAGTATCGGTATTGGCCTCTGATACCAGCATAATTTACGTATCGGATTTTTCCGATCCACCTGCCGATATTTCCGATCCATGATGCACGTTGGCTTCAAACTATGGAATGGATTTCCTGAACGACGGAGTGTCTCATGAGCCCAGAGTAATAAGACCCGCCTCATTCAGGAAATCCAGTTCATAGTTTGCAGCCAGCTACAACGTGAGGGCTGAGTTAGCAGCACTGTGGCTAACAGCTAACAAACTTTTCATCAAAACATGTCCGCTGTGTGGAAGTATTTTTCATTAGAAACACCACAAAACAAGAGAGCAACGTGCAATGTCTGCAGAGCCATAGCGCCACATTAAACCGCAGTAAAGTTAGTTTTACGATGGACATTCGAGCTCCGTGGCTTCAGCAGGGCGCTGCCTTTTGCTCAACCCACAACAGGCGACTCGACCCCGGCCAGCCGCGTCCAATCTGCCCCGCTCAGTCTGCCCGTTTCTGACGAGGGACAGACTGAGCGCGGCTGCCCCAAATCAGGCTGCCTGCTGCGGATTGAACAAGAAGAAGACATCGCTGAAGCCACGGAGCTCAAATGTTTACAGAGAAGTTGCTAAACTTCATCATAATTAATGACCAACCACTATCATTTGTAGAAAATGAAAGATTTCACAGTTTGATACTTGCAGCCAAGATATAGTTTACCCTCCAGGAGATACTTATCAGTACAACAGTAGACAATCATAAAAAACATATGATTTGAAAATTATATTAAAAACAAAAACAGCTACATTATAAAGTGATGTAAAATACTACAAATAGGAACATGTCTGTTGGTTTATGCCATGAACTTAGCAGATGTTTGAAGCCATTTAACATTTTATTTAATTCATTTATTCATTAATTAAAAAAAACATTTAAAAATAAAAAAAATCATCAAAAATAAAACATTGAATGAAAAGAGTGCAGAAAGAAGAAAAATAGTTCTTATATCTGCCCCTTATTTAAAAAAATATAAAATAACTTTAAGCAATCACTTAAATTAATCACTTTAATATCCACTTTAAAGCTAGGAATAAAAGAAACATGTTTTGTATTAGCAGAATTTTATTCTAACTATAAAACTTATCCAACATTAATAAAACTTACCTCAAGTTACCTTTTTGGACATGCATGCATATATTTGTACAAATTGTACTTGAGAGTAGATTATTACAGCCTCATGTAAAATCAATGATGATCAAGATATCGGAACTGGATCGGTATCGGCCAATATTCAGATGTAGGTATCGGGATCGGATCGGAAGTAAAAAAAGTGGATCGGTGCATCCCTAGTTTTAACATTGCTTAAATGTAGTTTCCTCAAATCATTTGGGGGGGACTGAAGATTATTCTCTCAGCTCTTAGCTTTTGGCTAAGTCCACCATTTCAGCTATTAGCTATGGTTTAGAAAACATTAGCTTCTGTTCTTTTGTTCGAACATTTTCAATCCAGTTTCAGTTTCTCAACATTCACACTGAATTTGTTCTGAAAATGCAAAATTCTCCAGTTCCTTTTTGGTTGAAGTTTCTGTTCTGGATCTCATTGTGCAGTTCTGAAATAAAATCTGTAAAACTTGTGGTCTGATTAAACATCTTGGGCTCTGACTTTTGCAACCAATATTTTATGGAATGTAGCAAAATTCTTACAAAGCTTTGGAAAAATTAATTTATGGGGATCAAATGAAATTTGTTCTAAGTTGAGTAAACCCAGGCTTCTTTGCAGCTCTCAGACTACAGCAGGATCATCATCCATCAATCCATCCATTATCTTTACCCGCTTATTCCATTTTTGGGTCACGGGGGTCGCTGGTGCCCATGTCCAGCAATCACTGTGCGAGGGGTGAGGTACACCCTGGACGAGTCGCAAGTCCATCACAGGGCCAGCAGGATCATCAATGAAAGTTAAAATGAGTCGCAGGAAGTTGGACTTTACATGTTGAAACTTCCATCTTTACATATTTTTACACAATTGCATCTTACATTCATAATTCCCATTGTCACCGATTCTGTTCATAACTTTTATGGACAGAATTTCTCGGTGCAGCCAGGGGGCAGAGGGAATCCAGTTCGGTGGCCTCAGGATTCCATCTCTGCTCTTTGCAGATGATGAGGTCCTGTTGGTGTCATTGTGCTGTGATCTCCAGCTCTCACTGGAGTGGTTTGCAGCTGAGTGTGAAGCGAACGAGAATCAAAACCTCCAAATCTGAGGCCATGATCCTCATTCGTCAAAGGGTGGATTGCTCTCTTCAGGTCGAGGGTGAGGTTCTGCCTCAAGTGGAGGAGTTCAAGTATCTCGAGATTTTGTTCACGAGTGAGGGAAGAATGGAGCATGAGATTGACAGATGGATTGGTGCAGCATCTGCAGTGTTGTGATCTCTGTGTCGGTCCGTTGTGGCGAAGAGGGAGCTGAGCTGTAAGGCAAACCTCTGTTTACCGGTCGTCTATAATCCTACCCTCAACTATCATCATGAACTCTGGGTAGTGACAGAAAGAATGAGATCGTGGATACCGGTGGTTGAAATGAGTTTTGTCTGCAGGGTAGCTGGACTCTCCCTTAGAGATTGAGTGAGAAGTTCAGTTATCAGGAGGGACTCGGGAGTAGAGCCACTGCTCCTCAACATTGAGAGGAGCCAGTCGAGGTGGTTCGGGGATCTAATAAGGATGCTTCCTGGGCGTCTCCCTAAGGAGGTGCTTCGGACATGTCCAACAGGGAGGAGACCCCGGAAAAGACCTAGGACATGTTGGAGAGACTTTGTCTCTTAGTTGGCCTGGGAACACCTTGAAGTCCTCCTAGAAGAGCTGGAAGAGGTGGTTATGGAAAGAGATGTCTGGACCTCACTGCTCAAGCTGCTGCACCCCCAAACCAACTTTGGAACAAGCGGAAGACAATGGATGTATGGATTCATAAGCACACAGATATTGTTCCATATAAAGTTCAACTGACTGTTTTTGAATTGTCTAAAATTTTCTACTTTTTTGTTGTACTACATATGGGTTGATTTAACTTCCTGTATCCCAGAAAGACACATGTAATAGTTTAAAAAAAATTTTTTTGAATGGAAATCAGACTGTAATCATTCTGGCGTAATAAGACCTCCGTCAGGTCCTATTCCCAGACTGGCAATGACCTGGCAGCTAATGTAAAATGTCTTTAAAAATTTAAAATGACTCATCCAAGTATGGGTCATCTGGCTCATCTCATGTACTTCTTTATCTTCCAAAAATCTTTTTTCAGCATTTTTACAATTTGCTGTGACCCAAGAAAACCAGTTAAAATTTCGTCCCAATGTTTCACCCTCAATGCACAGCCATAGATTACCTCACAAACTCAGTGACACTTTCTTTTAGCTTGTCACCTGCTGCCAGAGACATAAGGCTGATAATGTTTTTGCCTGTTGTGAGTGTGTTTGTGTTCACAAACACTGTTAGCAAAATTTTCAGGAACCAGAAAACAGATAATATTGAAACTCTCAGAAAGTAGGTATTGGATGCACCTCTACAACAATTTTTTTTGTAATCATTCCAATTCAAGATGGCTACCACAGCAAAGTTACTATAGCAAACACAAAAATAGCTATAACTCAGTTTTAGAGAAACAGAGCTAAGAAAAAAGAAAGAATAAATGCAGTAGTAGCTGAGAGTCATTGTTAACACATACAAAACCTTGTCATTACCAATAGAAGTCAACTCTACTTGTTAGAAAACCACTTGACAGATTTGATTGAACTTTTAGTCACTGAATGCACGTCTATACCTGAATAACTTTTGAAGCCAACCAAATTCAAGATGGCTGTCACAGACAACTAATCCTAGGAAACACAAAAGTGGATATAACCCAGTTAATCTGAGATATTTAGCTGCAATTTTGTGTTGTATTAGATGAAACTAATTCACAGCACATACTTCAAGTGCATCATATTGTTTATCATTGGTTAAATATTTAGTTTGACCTTTTGACGTCAACCCCAACTGTCTGTTAGAAAAATATCTCTGGATGGATTTTAATGAAATTCTTACAAAGTAATTAATGTTAATTATTGTTCATTAATTATTGTATATAGTTAAACTGATTCCCTTTTGGAAGCAACTCAATTCAAGATAGCCATCCCAGCCAACAGATTTGAAGAAACACAAAAATGGCTATACTCAATTAATTTGACACATATTCCGAGATGGTGTAGAGGCAGGGCAGCCGACTTGGGACCCGAAGGTCCTGGGTTCGATCCCCGGTCATTGCACATCTCATGGTGTCTCTGACAAGACACCCCATCCCCAAAATGCTCCCCAGGCACTTTCCATTGCTGCCCACTCCTTCACCTGGTTGTGGATGGGTTAAATGCAGAGAGCCAATTTCGCCATTGTATGGGAACATACAATGATGACAATACATACCACATTATTTTTATTATTATTATTAATCTTTGATGTGGTGGTGGCTGAGAGTCATTCAGAACAATGATCAAACATAACCAGATCTCACAGTATTGCATATCATTTACAAGGCTTGATTAAAACAGCAACAGTATAACTTTGTCAAAATGATCTTAGTTTAAAACTTGGACAGCGAGTGCGATGCATTCCTTTCAAGGAATGCTGATTCTTGTCAGTATGAACCATGTTCGACCTCACCTGTGTTACGCTGTCCCTCATGGTTGTTGCAGAGCGCTGCTTGCGGGTGGTGGTCGTGGCCATGGTGGTGGTTGTCTCCATGATAGTGGTGGACATATCAGCCAGTGGGGTGGTGGAGGTGGTGTCAGTGGTGAGCACAGAGGGCACATCGCCCACCAGCCTCAGGTTTCCCTGAATCTGGATGTTGGAGTCACCCTCAGCGGCCAGTTTGAGCACCTGCAGGCCATTGTAGTACAGACCTGAGATCTGCCCTTGGAAGTGCCGCCCCTTTTCTCCACCACCAATTTTAATAAACGCCTGGCTGTTGAAGATGGTCAGCTGCCGACCTGACAATGTGAAGAAGTCAGAGCGATGACAGGGGATAGGGGGGAGGGGTGTAACAGGAGAAAGAGAAAGAGACCATGGAGAGACCATGAAATAAAAAAAATAAAAACAAAGAGGACAAAGAATAAAATTCAGCTCATGTTCCAGGTTGAATTTGAACCATAATAATACACAGTAACAGTATGAAACAAAGGGTAAATTGGAGGGGACATGGGAGTTTCTGGGTAACACTTTAGGGAGATTGGACCCTGGCTTGTAACCATTGCTGCCATTATGGAGCTGGTCACGAGCCCCATTCCCAGAAAGGCAGGATGAATCTGGCAGTCAAATAGATGGTGGGGCCAGTTGCAGATTGACCCTGAGACAGGCGGTTTACAAGAAATGCATCTGATTTGCCCTGCAATGGAATATATTAGAGCATGTCGTTGACCTTCAATGCACCTGAGCTGCAAAATGATAAAGTAGCTCCGCTAGCAGAAAGAAATGGCATCCTGCTTCCCCTTGGAAGGTGGGAAAATGAGATTCTCATTGGAAGGACATGTTTAATTCATCAGGGGCTCTTCTTCTGCGTGGTCATTACCGTTCATCTGGATGGATAGATGGATGGATGGAGGGAGGACAGGGTCAACCGTTTAGCCAGGGCCCAATACTAATGTGTTCCCAAGATGTGTGTCAAAGAGGTGGGGGGGATAAAGTAAGGTCTGACAGGCAGACTTTTTCTCTTTGTAATACTCCTTCAGCTTATGTCAGCATAGGTTTCACTATCAAGTCTAAGGAAGAGTGATAATGTGGTTTTTTTCACAGGTTTTGTGTGCGTTTGTTAGTCTGGTAGCAAAATATCTCACAAACCACTGAACAGAATTTAATTAAACTCTCAGAAAGAAATAATTAGATTAGTGTATACAACTGATTAAGTTTTGGCGTCAAATAGCTATCACAGCTATTTGACCTCAGGAAATGCCACAAAAAGGTATAACTCTGTAAATTTTCCAGATACTTAGCTAGAATTTGGCATGGTAGTATATAAGAGGTATACTCAACTAATACTCAGTTTGCTAACAGATCGCACAAGCTCTGCATTTTAAACTCAAGCATTAATTATTGGTGTCAGTTCTGTCGGACTGTTAGCAAAAAATCTCATGCCCATGGACAGTCTTTATTAAAACTTTAAGGAAACAATCAATGGATATACCAATGAAGCTGATTATCTTTTGGATTCAATTTAATGCAAGGTGTCTGCTTCAATCAAACTGAAGTCCATATTGTCCAAAAAGAACCTGGAAACAGTAGTACATGCATTCATTACATCTAGGCTTGATTACTGCAATTCGCTCCTGTTTGGTATCAGTCAGACCGCCATTGCACAACTACAACTGGTCCAGAATGCAGCAGCCCAATTTTTAACCAGTACAGGCAAAAGTGAGCACATTACACCAGTTTTGGCCTCAATGCACTGGTTACCGGTTCACTTTCGAATCCAGTTCAAAATACTACTGTATGTCTACAAATCACTGAACAGTTTCGCCCCCCCCCCTCCCCCATCTCTCTGATCTGCTACAACCGTATGTCCCACCACGTTCCCTGAGGTCAGCGGATCAGTTGCTCCTCACAGTTCCAGGATCTCGTCTTAAGCGCAGAGGTGACAGGGCCTTCTCTGTAGCAGGACCAAGACTTTGGAACGAGTTACCTCTGCTTGTCAGACAGGCCCCCTCCCTCTCGGTTTTCAAGTCCTGTTTAAAAACCCACTACTATTCGGTGGCTTTCAACACCAGATGATCTGTGTTTTGATCCTGTATGCTCCACACTGGTTTGTCCTCATTATCTGCATCGTTTTTATGTCTGTATTCTGATTTACCTCATTTTGTATTTTGCTTTGTGTGTTACCTGTTGTTCTGTCTGTACAGCACTTTGGTTGGCCTTGTCACTGTTTTAAGTGCTCTATAAATAAAGTGGTATGGTATGGTATGGTAACCAACTGACAGAAAACACAAATATGTCTGTAACTCTGATAATTTATTTAAGTTGGATCAATCCTGTTTTTCTGATAGCATTTTATCTCATAAACCCACGGGGCAGATTTTACTGAAACTGACAATAAATAGTTACTGGCTGTACATCTAGAACTGATTAACTGTTGGAGTCAACCCACGTCAAGATGGCTGCCGCAGTTAATCAACCTTAGCTTACACAAAAATGACTAGAATTTAGTAAGTCTTGCAGGTATGTATGTAAACTTTTATGAGAGATTAGCTTAGTTTCATTCATACTGTAACATCTCATGCAAGGCATTATATAAAATTGCACATGTTGATATTTTCTAGATTTCACCGAAACAGCTAGAAGTTATTTCTCAACTTTAGATGATCTTCTAAAACTCTGATATGAAAGGCTGCGGACGACACGCATTTCTTCAAGCAATGTTAGACCTTAAATTTGCTTTGTGTCTTGTTTGTGGAATCCCCTTCATGCTGAGAAGTTAATTTGAAAAAGCTACCCACTATTCTGAGTTGTAGAGAGCAGTGAGGACTGAGGTTAGAGGGACACTGAGATGGGCTCAAAATAGATAAGATGAGGTAATTTCCTCAGAGGAGGACAGTAGACACCAAAAAGCTTTTTGATGGATTAATCAATGTCTGTAAAGAAAGCGGCAGTGTGTCTGTTTATGAAAGGGGTGTATCACTAATATTTTTGTTTGAGATTCATATATCAAGTCTTGAAATTGCAGACCTCTAAACCTCTAAAATTAGAGTTTAGGCCAGGGAACTGTTTGTATGTGAATAACAAACATGACTCGGGTTGAATTCTGACATTAGAAACCTCACAGTATTATTCACTGCCTTATTCAAAATGGTACCCACAACCAACTGACCCAAGAAACACAAAAAACTATATATAACAAAGTAATTTTTACATTTATACAGCTAAACCTAGTACCTGAGATTAAACGTAGAAAAATTATGACATCTAACAGAGTGCTCAAGATCTTTCCTAAAACGTTCAGCAATAATTATTTGTAGCTAACTGTTTGTTAGCAAAATACCTCACAAAACAATGCACAAATTTTAGATAGTAATCGATGGATTAAGTTCACGCTCAATAATCCAGGTAAAAAATCCAACAAATTTAAATCAGTTCCTCTGGATGGTTTCTTTGTGTTGAAACATTTTGTCTTTCATCCAAAGGACTTCATCAGTCCGAGGAGCCACAATAAACTCAGTCTCATAAGCAGCACACTCACATAGTGGACCAACCATCTTTGATGGTATCCTGATGCATGCTCAATAATCCAGGTAGAAAAATCTAAAAAAGTTAAATCTGGTCCTCTGGACATTCAAAAAAATAAAAAAATAAAGAAAATAAAAAAAATTGTAGAAACGTTTCGTCTTTCATCCGAAATACTTCTTCAGTCTGAGGTGCTGTATTCAGCTCAGTCTTATAAATAGCACCTTCTCATAGTGGATCAACCAGTTTGCTGCTGACAACCAAAACCAGTTGCTCACCTGTTCAAGGAGGACCATCAGCCTAACAATGGATCATTAGCACACTGATGGCTGTTTGCTATTCACAGAGGGCTGAGTGATACTAGAATTAACAGCATTGTAAGAGGGGGACAGTTGAACCCGGAGGCCTCCACCCCTGTTTAATGATGGACGGTTTCTTTTCACAAAGATGGCCTCCTTTACTCCTCTCTCAAACCATCGTTCCTCTTTATCAAGGATGTGAACATCTTCATCCCTGAAAGAGTGACCGCTGGCCTGGAGATGAGTGTAGACCGCTTCTTTGATGGTGATAAGATGGTTTCTGGAGTCCACCCTTTCCCCCGTCAACACCTCTGAGGAGGTTTGGCCATGGCCATGGCAAGTGTTTTGAACAACTTTGGCTGTGGCTACCTCAGAGGAGTCAATGGAGGAGAGAGTGGACTCCAGAAATCATCTTATCACCATTAAACTGGTTGGCAGTGGATGTACAATTGTAACTGATAAAAATGTTTAGAGTAATTCCACTTCAAGATGGTTGCACAGCTAGTCAACATTAGCCATAACGCAAATGGCTATAACTCAAATAGTTTTACAGACTTTGAGCTAAATGTAGTAGATGAGAGTCAGTCACAATACATATTATGTGTAAAATGAAATTGCACGTATTGTTTTCAAGGTTTGACCAAAATGGTTACAACTCTGTAGTTTTTCAACATAACGGTTCTTAGTTTAAAACCTTGACATAAAAGGTGGTGGACAATATGCTTTTCTTCAAGGAGTGGTAGTTTTTTAATTAGTTGCGTATTGTTGTAAACTTGTAGGAGCAGTTTTCTCATTGTCAACATAGAAACACCAGGGAATGACTCTGCCCCGTTTGTTTTCAATTAAGAGGGCTTAGAGGGTGCTTTATCACTCTAATTATGATTTACTCTCCTTCAAGAGTGCACTTGGTCTGACATTCGTGTAACACCAGGTGGGTGGGACGATCAGACAAAAAAATACATTTAAGTATGTCTGAATGAGGGTGCTAAAGCACAAATCTTTTTTCCAGAGAGGTTCTGGAGAGAGAAATCTCCTATGAGATGGACCATTGCGCATGCTATCCCATTAGCACATTAGGTCCATTGGATAACCCACGGGGGCCTTGGTTCCTGTCCCCAAGGCTGTAATGATGAGACATAATGTCTGTCATATGCACTGTGGACATAATAAGTGTGTTTTACTCGATTATCTCATCACTTAGCATGCTAACTGGAGGAATATTGGAATAAATCACAGGGGCATGAAAAGTATGGAAACCGTTTTTTTAAACTCTGTCAGCCTGGAAAACACAGGATAATAATGACCGTACAAAAGCTAACCTGTCCACAATCTACATGTACAAGCACTCAAATCAGCCCACTGGGTCTCCCATTTCAAACTGTCAGTTCTGACGTCTCGTGTTCAAAGCTGTGCAAGCAGCAGATCAAAAAATGACCTCTTCTGTTTCAAACATATTGTCTCATCGCTGCGCTCTGAGCCAG